TTCCCAGTAATCCATCTTGGCTGGGAGACCTCCCTCGGTTCCTGGCAACCTCACCTGTGTTGCCAGGATCTCTGCTAAAGCTGGGTGGTGGTTCCCCCTGCTAATGCTGCAGAGGTCCCCACTCTGGCAAAGGCACGAGGTTCTCTCTCCACTGCTCCAGCCATGTGGTCCTCTCTCCCAGGGCCACGGGAGTCGCCACTCAGCCAAAACCGTGTGGTTCTCTCCTGCAATGGCTGCCATGTCTGGGTTTTAAATTCCCGAGCCAGCCTTCCTCTGCAGCCCCATTCCTGACTCCTCCCACACTCGGCCACACTTGCCATCAATCTCACATCCTTTCCAGCTTTACTGGGCTGCCTTCATGGGTCTTGGCAGGTGTGTCCCCATGTCATGGAGCCAGTCTTCTCTGAGCTCCCACACAGGTGCTGTAACTTGGGGGACCTGCCCCCCAGTCACATCTTGAGGGGGAGTCCCTTTCCATCCCCCTGACCCAGAGCATGGCCACAGCTATTTAGCATATCTAACTGACCAGCCAAAAGCTATAGGTATATTAAATGACCATGCCATGGATTAGCTGCAAAGCTGTTGCTGTGCAAAACAGCCCTGCATGTTCTTGCTCCATGTGTCCCTTCCCCCAACTCACACCTGTGGGGGAAGGGGTGAAGACATCTTATATGTCTTTCTAATATTTCCTGGACACCTTGAGTTCTGGACTCCATTTCAAATGCCTATTTGGGGTCCCCGCTCTGGGCTGCACCCTGTAACACTGAGTTGGTTGGATCAGTTGGTTATAGCATTGTCCCATACACAAAAAGGAGTTCAATCCCACATGAGGGCACATACTTAGGTTGCAGGTTCAGTCCTGGGTTAGGGTGCATAAGAGAGGCAACCAATCAAAGTTTCTAACACTGATGTTTCTCTCCCTCTTTTTTTTCCCTTCCTTTCTGTCTCAAATCAATAAACATACTAAAAAGTTTTTTAAATGATGCTGAGAAAACTGGATGTTCACATGCAAAAGAATGACACTGGGCCTCATCTTATACCATTCATGAAAATGAACTTGAAATGAATTGAAGATTCATTTAATTTGCAGATTCAGTTGGTGATAGATATGTATGTGTTTATTGGCATTTTATTGTACATAGTTTTACTCTTCTTTTTTTAAATAAGTCCTTCCAACATTTCATATAGTAATTGCTTATAGATGAAGAACTCCCTTATCTCTTTCTGTCTGGGAAGTTCTTTATCTGTCCTCAGATTCTAAATGATAGCCTTGCTGGGTAGAGCAATCTTGGTTGTAAGTTCCTGCTTTTATTGACTTTGAATATTTCTTGCCTATTTCTTCTAGCCTGCAAAGTGTCTTTTGAGAAATGAGTTCATAGTCTTATGGGAACTCCTTTGTAGGTAACTACCTTTTCTTTTGCTGTTTTTAAGAGTCTCTCTTTATATTTAACCTTTGGCATTTTAATGACGATGTGTCGTAGGCCTCTTTGCATCCATCTTGTTTGGGACTCTCTGTGCTTCTTGAACTGGCATGTCTATTTCCTTCACCAAATAACAGAAGTTCTTTTTCATTGTTTTTTCCAAATAGATTTTCAATTTCTAGCCTTTTCTCTTCCCCTTCTGGCACCCCAGTGTGAATATTGGAACATTTGAGGTTGATACAGAGGATCCTTACAGTATCCTTGGTTTTGTTTTTGATTCCTTTTTCTTCTTGTTGTCTTTTATTTTCTTAAGTTCCAAATCACTGACTTGATGCTCAGCTTTGTCCACTCTGCTGTTGTTTCCCTTTACATTGTTCTGTATTTTAATTTGTGTATCCTTTGTTTCTCACTGGATCTTTTTTCTTCTGTTGAAGTCCTTCCTAAGTTCCTTGAGCAGCCTTCTAAGCAGTATTTTGAACTCTGCATCTGATAGAGTGCTTGTCTCCATTTTGTTTAGTTCTTTTCTGGAGTCTTACTCTGTTCTTGGATTTGGGTCTTGTTTCTTTGTGTACTCATTTTGTCAGCCTCCCCATGTTTGTTTCTGTGTGTTAGGTAGAGCTGCTATGACTCCCTGTCTTAGTAGAGTGGCCTAATGTTGTAGGTGTCCTGTGGGGACCAATAGAACAGCTTCCCCTGTCACCCAAGCTGGGTACTCAAGGTGTGCACTTTGTGTGGGCTGAATATATTCTCTTCCTGTAATTGAGCCTCAATTGCTGCTGGAAGGTTAATGGGAATGCTTTATGCAGGCCAGTCACCTGCAAGGACTTACCACCATCCTCCACCTTCTGTGGAGGATCAGCTGTACAGGAGCAAGGAGATGGTGCTGACATGCTCTGTAGCTGTCCACTGGATGCAGAGGCTCTGAGGTTTCTGATGTGGTGCAGGACAAGGTTAGCCACCTCCTGTGTTCTGCCTGAAGCTACCCTGCATAAGCTATGAAGCAATTTGAGTTGACTCCTACCTGTGCTGGGTTTGGATGTTCCCAGGCAAAGCCAAACTGTGAATCAAGGCTGGCTGCTGCTAGTGCCAGGCCTGGGGCCACTTAGCAAGAGGGATGGGGGATGGTGTCTCACTGATGCTGGCTGTTGCTTGTTTGAGATATTAGGAAGTTGTGAAGCATGAGCCAAGAGCAGCCATTCATATGAAAAGGCCACTGTTAACAGCCTGGGTGGGTCCATGAGTTGGGTGAGACAGAGTCTCAGGGGCTGTGTAGGGCAAACAGTGTATGGCAGGTTGATAGAGTCTCAGATATGGCACCCACATGTGAGCTCTGTGGCTTTGTGCAGGGAGGACTCAGAAAAGGGACAGTGGCCTCTGCCTGCCTTTTTGCCTGGAAGGAAACTATTCCCTAGCTCTCCCCTTGATGCCAGACACTTGAGTTTCTCCCAGTATGCCACTGGTGCCACTCAAACTGCTAGCCCTGTGCTGGAGCCCAGAGGGAGTGAGCCTAAATCTGTACATGTTTTCTTCAAAGGAAGTGCTTGGGACTCTAGAAGTTTCTTCTCTCAACTCAATCTGTACTGATTTTTGCAGACAGAAGTTATGGAGACTTGTCTTCTTGGCCCTGGAACTCTCAGCTGGGGGTTGTTGTGGGGCTGGGGCCTGTTGTGAGGCTATCTCCTCACTCCTGGGATATTCCTCTGAAATTTTTATCCACCACATGTGGATTTGGGACCAGCCTGTTCCGCATCTCCACCCATTATACTAGTCTGGATGGATATGGTTTTCTTAATTCCATAGTTGTTGGACTTCCACTCAACTCGATTCCTGACAGTTCTGAGTTATGTGTGTTCTGTAGTTTTGTTAATAATTTATATGGTTAGGGAAGGAGGAGAGTTGTGTTTACCTATGCCACCATCTTGATCTTATTGATGATTGTTCTATGACAAGATTATCACAAATGTGATGGCCAGATGATAATTTTTCAAATACTATGTTTTTTCCTATGTTTATTAATTGTGTTCTCTTATAAGAAGGAAGTTACCCTTATTCCCCACTCATTTGTTTTCTGTTTGTTTATATCATTATGGACTCATGGATTTTTGCTTATTATTCTCTGAGTTATAATCCATTATAATTGTTATTCATTTTGAATACCTAGGTGTCTTTATTGTTTACAAGGATTCTAAATAATATTGAAGAAGTCAACTAGGGAATATATATGAAAGGAACACAAGAAATAAAACCTTGAAACCAGAGTCTAAAGCAATGTTTATACATGGGTGTGTACCAGGAGTGAGACAGAAAGAATGAGAGATCAGAAGATAAAGATAGATATATATACACACAAATAAAAGTTTCCATCTATTTATAATTTTTAAAACCCATGAGCTCGAACTGATATCTCCAATTCTAGTTAACAACCGAGCGTCCTTTGCAGCTTCTTGTTTTCTCTGCACAGTACCTTTCCCAGGAGAGCAAGGAGTCACTCCCTTCTCCTCAGTGATTACTTGTTTACTGAATCTTTAGATACATGGGAAGTAGTTCAGCATCTTGAACTCATACCACTGTTAATGACACATTAACTACAGCTTAAGATTTTGTTTCCAGGTTTTTTTTTATTGTGAAGATAGATAGACAAAATTCTGGGTTCAAGAATTACTAGGGTACTTACAGTATTTCCCTCCTTAGTCTAATTATGGTATTTATTTAAGACATACCTAGGTTCATTTGTCTTTTTGATTCTATTTTGCTTTATGTTCCACCTCTTCTATTTATTTTCTAGTGGCAAAAGACAACATGGTCATAACCATGCTAGTAAGTATACTCACTTCCCATGTCTTCTGTCCACCTTCTCTGGGCAAAGCACCTCATTAGTTTCTGATTTATTTTTCCTGTGTTTCTTTTTGCTCAAGTGGACAGACATATGTATATTTTATTTCCCCTTAATTTTTACCAAAAGTTCAGTAATATCAGTACTCCTTAGCACATTGCTAATTTCCATTTTACAATATATGCAGATGTTTTTCCATATTGATTCACAGATATCTTTGCTTTTATTTTTTGACAGTTACAAATTACTCAATTTCATTGGTGCTCTTTAGAGTTTCCAGTAGGGGTCCTAAATTGAGATATTGGTGATGAGTCTCCTAAATGCCACTGAATTATGTATCTTAGAAGGCTAAAGTGGTCAATGTGGTGTTTTGTATATTAAACATTACTTAAAAATTAAAAATTAAGTAAGAAGTAATCTCTGCATACAGCAAAGAAAAGAATTACAAAATACTATTAATGTATGATTAATAAGTTAGTAGAGGGATAATGAAATATCAAAATATATGTAATTCAACAAAAGGGAGGAACACACCAGTAGCAGATCATGACGCTAAATCAGTGTGTCTTCATAATACAGTATGAAAATACATAAGCAAAAACTGACATATCTCAGTGGAGAAAAAGACAAATTCATAGTAAAACTGTGCAACACGGTTTGCAAAAGATTTCTCATATACCTTATAAGAGATGATGAACAAGTGAAACATATTACTTAGGAATAAAGAATTATAAATAACCCAAGCATCAAACATGATCTGGTTGATATATTAACTTTTTTAATCCTGTAGACAAATATTCTAAGGCCTGCTTTACATCTCTGTTCCTCAGACTGTAGATGAAGGGGTTCAGCATGGGGGTAACTACCATATACATGACTGAAGCAATTACATCTTTGGAATCCCATGAGGAGGACAAAAAGTAAACACCTACAATAGTCCCATAGTATAAAGACACCACAAAGAGATGGGAGCCACAGGTAGAGAAGGCTTTCAGGAGTCTCTTAGTGGAGGGATCCCTCAGGATGATGGTGCCTATACGGATATATGAGCCCAAAACTATACACAAAGGCAGGAAAGAAAGAATTCCTCCCTCAGTGAGAATGACCAGCTCATTGAGGGAGATGTCTGAGCAGCTGAGCTTCAGGAGCACAGTGATGTCACAGAAGAAGTGGGTGACGACATTGTCAGCACAGAAGGAGAGTCGGACCAAGAGGACAGTATGCAACAGGGCATGGGCACATGAAGTAATCCATGAGGCAGCCACCATCAGCACACACAACTCCTCCCTCATGATGGTGTTATAGTGTAGAGGGTGACAGATGGCCACATACCTGTCATATGCCATCATGGCAAGAAGGATATTTTCAACACAACCAAAAAGTATGAAAAAATACAACTGAGACATGCAAGCCACATAGGGGATGGATTGTTGCCTTGTATGTATATCCATCAGCATTTTAGGGACAGTGACAGATGAAAAAGAGATATCAGTGAATGCCAAGTGGCTGAGGAAGAAGTACATGGGTTTGTGCAGGTGGGAGTCCAGCCTGATGAGCAGGATGATGAGCAGGTTGCCCAGCACTGTGGTCAGGTACATGCCCAGGAACAGGGTGAAGAACACACCCTGCTCTCCTGGCCTGATGGGGAGCCCCAGGAGGAGGAACTCGGACACGCTGCTCTGGTTCTCAGGCCTCATGCTGCTCTTCTGTCTGCTGGAGATGAGGAAGGTTTGGGACTCTCAGAATCCTGGAAAGACAACCAGGATCATTACATCTCATACTGTAATTTTCTGGGAAATACACAACTTTTTAACTATACCCTCATTAAGTTGTTGTACTGGTAAATGACTGCATCTCTGCTGTAACCCAGTCTGTTTGCAGGAAAACTATGGACCCAAAAAACACCCAACAAGACCTCATTGCACATAAGCAAGAGGTGTTCACTGTTTCATTCAGCCATTACTTATTGAATATGGAATCTGTGTTGGAACCTCTACTAAGGACTGAGATGCCACAGTGAACAGGGAAAACAAGGTCCCCATTTCTAGGAGTTTAGACCTTGAGCATGGAGGGATACTTTGTACTCCAGTCCAGTGAATACACACTTCACTGCAGCAGAATTGGAAGATGAGCCCTGAAAACTGGGATCAATTGTGTCTGCCTTAAGTAAACATAAAACTTCAGTGCTGAGATGTAGGAATATTGTGACTCTCTGCCTGTGAACCTGAGAAGTCCCATTAACCCACAGCTGTAACCTCAGGGACACTCTTGAAATTCATGGCCATTTAAAGCCACTTGATGCCACAATAACTCTCAAACCAGAAAGGTCCACAAACTGTCTTTCATAACAGTGCTGAACAGTTTGGTGAACATCTGAGTGCTGGACTGAGGACTTCACTTGTGTTCCCTAACTATATCCACTCATCAGACTTATGTTCCCAGATTTCACAACCACTTCACAGCTGCACTAAGATTTTGTGGTCTTTGACCTATTGCAGCTTTCATGAAACAGAAACAGATATGATACAAACTCTGTAGGCACAGAGCAGTACACTGGTGTGCAGAATGGTATACACACATGTATATCTGTATTTATATTATATGCAATATATAATATATAAATGACATATATGTGTTACCATTTTCTATACCTCACAATGACCAAGTACTAGCTGCTTCATGGGGTTCAGTCTAATACATGTGTGTAATCAGGACCCATGGTATAACCATTTCACACAGAAACTTCCCATTTGTTGGTTAGGGGAGCCAAGCATGATATGTTGTTTTAGAGCTGTAAGGACTCCAATTTGTCCAGTATTTTTTTAGTCTCCTTACTAATTTTGTTCCTTCACATTTGTATATGCTCCAAGTGAGAAAAATTCTTCAATGCATACAAATTTTCATACAACAAACAATTCGGGAAAGCCTCTCTAAGATTCACAAGGAAGTGTAAATCTTTCCACTTTATAGATGTAAACTGAGGCCAAGGATTGAATTAACTTTCCAAATCACCACTATTTGAAGGTCATTCTGCCCAATAAGTTCTCACAGCAGGATGCCTGTTATTCCTTTTGCCTGGGATATTTAGTAAAACTAAAGAGTTGCAAATTCTGAGTGACTCAGTCACACTCAGGTACATGAATATGACAGCAGGTCCATTTCCAGAAACAGGATGTACTTTGGACTTTCGTTCTCTCAGCTAATGGTGCCCCAGAATGAGGACACTTAAAGAAAAATTTAGGCCATTGATGCAGATCACACACACCCAGAATATTACTGACCTGGTACCAAGTTCCCACCCTAAGGGAAGGAGAGCTCGTAACATTCACACATGCATACAAATCCTAAGAAACACACAAAGGAGACATACAACCAGACATTCATGGACCAGTCACCTACAAACACACTTGCAATGCACATCAACACACCTCACTGATGACACACTCAGTAAACAGCTCACCATATATACACTAACACTACACACATATCACCAAAAACACCCAAGGCCACAAACAAAAAAACTTCGCAAGAAACACACAAACAGCACGTATGCACCCCCGGCCACACACTCACCATAACAGGCAGCACACACCCTCCTATCCTCTTACAAATGAGGGCATGCTTCTGCCCCTTCTGACCCATCCCCTTCCTGGGGGAAGGCCATCAGCTTGGGGCAGGTTAGCCTATTCAATCACAGGGGCACTCATTAAACCACCACAACATGATATGCACGTGGTAAACCACAATGCCATGCACATGGTCACACAACACACCACTATACAGAGAAAACCAAACAATACACCCTGCTGCTCTAATACACTAGTGTGTTACCCACAGACACAGCTCACACGTGCACCAGCACATGCTGCTGAGCAGAGGTGTGACCCTTCTCTGACCTTACCTTGGCTACTCTGAGGTCAGGCATCTTCCTGTCCAGCACCAGAGCCAACAATGTCATCTCTGATGTGCAGCTGTGATGCAAGTACTTAGGGTCCCAGGCATGAATCAGGAGTCCCTAATCACAGGCAAGAGGCTGATAACTTGGTGTACATGGGCTAAAACAGGGGCCGGCCAGGTTGGGTCTAACTCAGGAAGAGTCAGGCTGTGAGTCAGATGCATGTGCACTCATGTGTGCACACAGATGCATCTGTCAAACAGAATGTGCACCAGCATGCACAGCACCTGAAGGCTCACAGAGACACACACACACAGTCATGAACTGAGAGTCTCAACCATGAATCCACCATCACACAGGCAGATCTGTCCATCAGTGCAGACATCCATCGTCTCTGACCTGTGCTGCTCATCTTTGGTGAGTTCAGACACCTTCTGCTCCAGACTCTTGCCCACCTTCTCAGGTTGTCCTCGGGAGTCCTAACATCAACACAAGGAGCAGAAACATCTGGGTTCTTAGCACTTGTACAGACTTTCATTTTGTCTAAACAGCTCTAGAGAAATTACTTAAAAGAGAACTCTTATTAATGTGAGACTGGCACTCAGTCCCCAAGCTTCTGGCTAATTTCTGCCTGCCCTTTGGGGAGTTGGGTATCCAAGAGCCTGAGAGACTGGAGTCCTAGGGGACAGTGTCCCTGATTCCAGTGATGCCTGGACTCCTTTCTTCTTGGGCATGTACCAGCTGGGACAAAGGATTTGTCAACTTTTTATTTGGAAATGATTTTGAGGATACTGAAATGTTATAAATGTGATGTCAAGAATTCCTGGAAAGGCCCTACCCTGATTCCCCAATGTTTAATGTTTTACTATGTTTACCTTCTGTGTGCATGCATGTATTAATGCAAGTATGTTTGAGGCTTAGGTTTTCAGCAGGTATGCCACAAAGCATGTTATTGGAAGACATGATATTAATTTTCTCATGTACTAGTGTTTGAATCCTTGATCAATTGACTATGGTGGTATGTGGCAGGTTGTCTTCTAAAGTGACTATTGTTTTAAAGTTTATATTTTCACCTGGTTATGATAAGGTATCATTTGAGTAGATAATTTGATGACATATAAACATAACATTTTCCTCATTAACATTTCAGCCACTATATTTAACATTGATTGGTTGATTCTTTCTTTGCTTTCCTTTTTAAAAAAATTTTATTCTTTGATTATGCTGTTACAGTTGTCCCAATTTTTCCCAATTTTGCCCCCTCACCCAGCAGGCCCCACTCCCTCAGGAAGTCCCCACTCTGTTGTTCACACCCATGGGTCATGCATATAAATTCTTTGGCTACTCCATTTCCCTTATTTTACATCTCCATGGCTATTGTGCAACTACCTGTTTGTACTTAACTCTCTCACCTCTTCACCCATTTCCCACGCTCCCCTCCCATCTGGCAATCATCAGCACACTCTCCATATCCATTATTTTGTCTCTGCTGTTTATGTTTGCCTAGTCTGTTTTGCAGAATTCAGTTGTTGATAGATATGTATGTGTTTATTGGCATTTTATTCTTCATAGTTTTTCTCTTCTTTTTCTTAAATATGTCCTTTCAACATTTCATATAGTAATGGCTTATAGATGAAGAACTCCCTTAGTTTTTTTCTCTCTGGGAAGTTCTTTATCTGCCCTTGGAGTCTAAATGATAACCTTGCTGGGCACAGCAATCTTGGTTGTAGGTCCCTGCTTTTTTTGACTTTGAATATTTCTCGCCTATTTCTTCTGCCTACAAAGTGTCTTTTGAGAAATCAGTTGATGGTCTTATGGGAACTTCTTTGTAGGTAACTACCTGCTTTTCTCTTGCTGCCTTTAAGATTTTCCCTTTACATTTTAACCTTTGGCATTTTAATGATGATGCACCTTAGAGTGGGCCTGTTTGCATGCATCTTGTTTGGAACTCTCTGTGCTTCTTGAACTGGCATGTCTATTTCCTTCACCAAATAACAGAAGTTCTTTTTCATTGTTTTTTCCAAATAGATTTTCAATTTCTAGCCTTTTCTCTTCCCCTTCTGGCACCCCAATGTGAATGTTGGAACATTTGAGGTTGATACAGAGGATCCTTACAGTATCCTTGGTTTTGTTTTTGATTCCTTTTTCTTCTTGTTGTCTTTTATTTTCTTAAGTTCCAAATCACTGATTTGATGCTCAGCTTTGTCCACTCTGCTGTTGTTTCCCTTTAAATTGTTCTGTATTTTAATTTGTGTATCCTTTGTTTCTCACTGGATCTTTTTTCTTCTGTTGAAGTCCTTCCTAAGTTCCTTGAGCAGCCTTCTAAGCAGTATTTTGAACTCTGCATCTGATAGAGTGCTTGTCTCCATTTTGTTTAGTTCTTTTTCTGGAGTCTTATTCTGTTCTTGGATTTGGGCCTTGTTTCTTTGTGTACTCATTTTGTCAGCCTCCCCATGTTTGTTTCTGTGTGTTAGGTAGAGCTGCTATGACTCCCTGTCTTAGTAGAGTGGCCTAATGTTGTAGGTGTCCTGTAGTGACCAATAGAACAGCTTCCCCTGTCACCCAAGCTGGGTACTCAAGGTGTGCACTTTGTGTGGGCTGAATATATTCTCTTCTTGTAATTGAGCCTCAATTGCTGCTGGAAGGTTAATGGGAATACTTTATACAGGCCAGTCACCTGCAAGGACTTACCACCATCCTCCACCTTCTGTGGAGGATCAGCTGTACAGGAGCAAGGAGATGGTGCTCTGACATGCTCTGTAGCTGTCCACTGGATGCAGAGGCTCTGAGGTTCCTGATGTGGTGCAGGACAAGGTTAGCCACCTCCTGTGTTCTGCCTGAAGCTACCCTGCATAAGCTATAAAGCAATTTGAGTTGACTGCTACTTGTGCTGGGTTTGGAGGTTTCCAGGCAAAGCCAAACTGTGAATCAAGGCTGGCTGCTGCTAGTGCCAGGCCTGGGGCCACTTAGCAAGAGGTATAGGGGATGGTGGCTCACTGAGGCTGGCTGTTGCTTGTTTGAGATATTAGGAAGTTGTGAAGCATGAGCCAAGAGCAGCCATTCATATGGAAAGGCCACTGTTAACAGCCTGGGTGGGTCCATGAGTTGGTTGAGACAGAGTCTCAGGGGCTGTGTAGGACAGGGCAAACAGTGTAAGGCAGGTTGATGGAGTCTCAGATATGGCACCCACATGTGAGCTCTGTGGCTTTGTGCAGAGAGGACTCAGAAATGGGCAGTGGTCCCTGCCTGCCTTTTTGCTTCTAAGAAAACTGTTCCCCAGCTCTCACCTTGATGCCAGACACTTGAGTTTCTTCCAGTGTGCCACTGGTGCCACTCAAACTGCTAGCCCTGTGCTGGAGCCCAGCGGGAGTGAGCCTGAATGTGTACATATTTTCTTTAAGAAGAAGTGCTTAGGAGTTTCGAAGTTTCTTCCCTCAACTCAATCTCCACTGATTTTTGCAGACAGAAGGATAAGGACTTGTCTTCCTGGCCCTGGAACTCTGGGCTGGGGGCTATTGTGGGGTTGGGACTCCTTGTTCCTCAGATACTCCTCTCAAATTTTTATCCACCACATGCAGATATTGGACCTGCCTGTTGCACAACTCCTCCACTTATACCAGTGTGGATGGATGTGGTTTCTTTAATTCTGTAGTTGTTGTACTTCCACTCAAATCGATTCCTGACAGTTCTGAGTGATGGGTGTTCTGTAGTTTAGTTGTAATTTGATGTGGTTTTGCAAGGAGGATGGCTGTGTTTACTTATACCAACATCTTGATCTCATTGATGATTCTTATCTGACAAGATTATCACAAATGTGATAGCCAGATTGTAATTTTTCAAATCCTGTCTTCTTCCTATCTTTATTAATTGTGTTCTTGTATAAGAAGGAAGTTACACTTATTCCCCACTCATTTGTTTTCTCTTTGTTTATATCATTATGGGCTCATAGATTTTACTTATTATTCTCTGAGTTATAATCCATTAAAATTGTTATTCATTTTGAATGTCTGGGTATGTTTATTGTTTACAAAGATTCTAAATAATATCGGAGAAGTCAACTAGGGAATATGTATAAAAGGAACACAAGAAAAAAATCTTGAAACCAAACTCTAAGGGCATGTTTATACATGGGTGTGTATCAAGAGTGGGACAGAAAGAATGAGGGAATAGGAAATAAAAATACATATATATATATGAACATAAATTTCCATCTACTTATAATTTTTAAAACCCATTAGCTGGAACTGATATCTGCAATTCTAGTTAACAACCGAGAGTCCTTTTGCAGCTTCTTCCTTTCTATGCATAGTACCTTACCCATGAGAGCAAGGAGTCTCTCCCTTCTCCTCAGTGTTTACTTGTTTGCTGGATATGGATACATGGGCAGTAGTTTATAATCTTGACCTCATACCACTGTTAATGACACGCTAAGTACAGTAGGACTTTGTTTCCAGTTTTGTTTTGTTTTTTGTTTTTTGGGTTTTTTTTTTTCATTTTTGTGAGAGTACATGGACAGAAATCTGGGTTCAAGAATTACCAGGGTACTTACAGTATTTCCCTCTTTAGTCTAATTATGGTATTTATTTAAGATAGAGTTAGGTTCATTTGTCTTCTTGATTCTATTTTGCTTTATGCACCACCTCTTCTATTTATTTTCTAATGGCAAAAGATAACATAGTCATAATCATGCTAATAATTATACTCCTCTCCCATTCCTTCTCCCCACCTTCTCTGGGCAAACCACTCATTAGTTTCTGATTTATTCTTCCTGTGTTTCTTTTTCCTCAAGTGGGCAGACATATGTATATTTTATTTCTCCTTAATTTTTACAAAACGTTCAGTACTGTAAGTGCCCCTTTGCACATTGCTTGTTTCCATTTAACAATATATCCAGATGTTTCTCCATATTGATTTATAGATATCTTTGCTTTTATTTTTTGACAGTTGCAAATTTCTCAGTTTCATTAATGCTCTTTAGAGTTTCTTGTAGGGGTCCTAAATTGAGATATTGGTGATGAGTCTACTAAATGCCACTGAATTGTGTATCTTAGAAGGCTAAAGTGGTCAATGTGGTGTTTTGTATATTAAACATTACTTAAAAATTAAAAATTAAGTAAGAAGTAATCTCTGCATACAGCACAGAAAAGAATTACAAAATAGTAATAATGTATGATTAATAAATTAGTAGAGGTGTAATAGAATATTGAAATATATATATGAATATCAAAAGGGAGAAAAACAAGAGAGAAAAATGTGAAGCAGGTATATCACATAGTTTTAGGGAAAATATAAATTCAAATACATTATGATTCCTTTCGATGTCAATAGAGAAATACCTCCAAAAGTAACAATTGTTGTTGCACATGGAAAGAACAAAATCCAACTTTATTTACACCAGTGACAAAAGGACACCTCACTGACAATTTGGACACAGTAAAGTCTAAAGTGATGGGAAAAAATGCCATGTAAAACCTAACATGAGAAAAGCTGCATCTTTACTAGATATACTATAGTAATACCTATACCTATATCTATATATACATCTATGTCTACAGATGTAATGTATCGATATTAATATGAGAAGTAAATGAAGTATTATTTCAGGCCCCATTTCTAGAAATATCTGTATCCAAATCTGTATCTATCTATCTGTCTATCTCTATCTGTATGTGTATCTATGTCTACAGATATAAAATGACAATATTAATATGAGAAGTAGATAAAGTAGTAATGCAGGATCCAATGTTAGAAATATCTCCTCATTTTAAACAAAGTAGTGTGCTTTAAATGCATTTTTAAAAAGCCTGACTCTCTTTCTTGGAAAATTTTGCTTTGTAGCACATGTGAATTTTCATAGTATAATTATTCTGATCATGGCTGATTGCTGTCAGCCAGCATGATGTCATGGAATGTGAGTTGGGAAGACGTGTGCATAGTGAACCTGAAGCTGATAAAAGCCAGCATAACAAAGATTCAGTTCAAAAAAGAAAGTTAAGTTCACTAGTAGCAGATCATGGCACTAAATCAGGTGTCCTCATAATACATTATCAAAATACATAAGGAAGAACTGACTTATCTCAGTGGAGAAAAAGACAAATTGATAGTTCAAATTGTGCAACAGGTTTTGCAAAAGATTTTGCAGATACCTTATAAGAGATGATGAACAAGTGAAAAAGATTACATAGGAATCAAGAATTATAAACAATCCAAATAGCAAATGTGACCTCATTGACATATTAACTTTTTCAGCCCTGTTAACAAACATTGTAAGGCCTGCTTTATATCTCTGTTCCTCAGGCTGTAGATGAAGGGGTTCAGCATGGGGGTAACTACCATATACATGACCGAAGCAATTATGTCTTTGGAATACCATGATGAGGACAAAAAGTAAACACCTACAATAGTCCCATAGTATAAAGACACCACAAGGAGATGGGAGCCACAGGTAGAAAAAGCTTTCAGGAGTCTCCTAGTAGAGGGAGCCTTCAGGATGATGGTCCCTATACGGATATATGAGCCTAAAATGATAGCCAAAGGCAAAAGTAAAATCATTCCTCCCTCAATAAAGATGACCAGCTCATTGAGGGAGATGTCTGAGCAGCTGAGCTTCAGGAGCACACTGAGTTCGCAGAAGAAGTGGGTGATGACATTGTTGGCACAGATGGACACTCCGACCAAGAGGACAGTGTGCAACAGTGCATGGGCACATGAAGTAATCCATGAGGCACTCACCAGCAGCACACACAACTCCTCCCTCATGATGGTGGTATAGTGTAGAGGGTGACAGATGGCCACATACCTGTCATATGCCATCACTGCCAGAAGAAGATTATCAACACAACTAAAACATATATAAAAATACAACTGAGAAATACACCCTGGGTAGGAAATGAAGAAGTGATGAGTCTGCATGTTCATCAGCATCCTAGGGACAATGACAGATGAGAAAGAGACATCAGTGAGGGCCAGGTGGCTGAGAAAGAAGTACATGGGTGTGTGCAGGTGGGAGTCCAGTCTGATGAGCAGGATGATGAGCAGGTTGCCCAGCACCGTGGTAAGGTACATGCCCAGGAAGAGGGCGAAGAACACACCCTGGTGCTCTGGCAGGATGGGCAGCCCCAGGAGAACAAACTCGGACACGCTGCTCTGGTTCTCAGGCCTCATGCTGCTCTTCTGTCTGCTGGGGACAAAGGAGGTTTGGGAATCTCAGGATCCTAGAAAGACAAGCAGGACCATCACATCTCATACTGTAATTTAATGGGAAAGTCATGAATTTTTTCCCTTATTTTTTACTGTTTACACCATCATAGTTCCCATTTTTTCCCTTTCCTGCATCCACCTAGTCCACACTCCCTCACTCCCTTAGGCCATCACCACAGAATGGGTCATGCATGTATATTCTTTGGCTAATCACTGCACCTGTCAGGTGTCATTGACCTACAGCTGTAAACTCAGGGCCACTCCACAAATGGGTGACTGTTTAAAGCCCTTTGATGCCAGAATAGCTCTGAAGCCAGAACAGTCCACAAACTCTTCCATAATAATGCTGGCCATTCTGGGGCCATAAACACTGCCGTGTATGTTAAGTTAGGGGCTTTGTCTACCTTTTATAGTCCAACATCAGCATTACATTCCCAGACTAAAACATCTTCACAACTACAGTAAGAATGACTATCCTTTCTGTCTTCTATTAGCTGCTAGCAAATAGAAACATAAAAATGATATAAGTCTTATATGCATATTATAAAGAGTATGTATTGCCATTTTCTATAAGTTTTAAATATCAAATATGTTTTAATAGCCAATAATGGAATAACTTTTTATGGTGACAAGTAGTTATTTACATGTTGAATCACCATGTTGTACACACCTGCAACTAATATTGTATTGTATCTGAACTATAATTAGAATAAACTTAAAGGGAAAAATTATCAAATATGCAGGTCAGTCTACTACATCTGCATGATCAGAGCCTATGGTCTTAACTACCAACCATGGACACCTCTCCCATCCTTGGTAACACCCTGAGTTACTGTAGGGCTGCAAGCAGGTCATAGTTTCTTAGATCCCTACCTAGATAGTTCCCTTCATTTATATTGATCTGCTTTCCAATTGAGAAAAGACCATTACATTCATTATCATTGATTCAGAAGTACATATTTATTGCACACTCAGCCACACACACTCTACAACGAGCAGCACACACCCTCCTATTAATAATGAGGGCTTGCTTCCACCCTTTCTGACCCATCCCCTTCCTGAGGGAAGGCCATCAGCATGGGGCAGTTAAGCCTGTTCAGTCACAGGCACACTAATTAAACCACCACCAACATCCCATGCACATGGTCACACAACATGGTAACACAGAGAGAAAACCAAACAGTACACCTTCCTGCTCTCACACACCAGTGTGTCACCCATAGACACAGCTCACATGTATACCAGCACATGCTACTGAGCAAAGTGTGAACCCTCTCTGACCTGACCTTGGCTCCAGTGAGGTCAGTTGTCTTCTTGTCCAGCACCAGAGCCAACAATGTCACCTCTGATGCTCAGCTGTGATGCCAGTACTTAAGGTCACAGGCATTAATCAGGAGTCCCTCCCTAATCACACTCCAGGAGGCTGATACAGGGGTGTCCAACCTTTTGGCATCTCTGGGCCACACTGGAAGAAGAACAGTTGTCTTGGGTCACACATTAAATACACTGTAACACATAATCACAAAAATCTCATAATGTCTTAAGTAAATTTATGATTTTGTGTTGGGCCATTTCATAGCCATCCTGACCTGCATGTGGTCCATAGGCCACAGGTGAACACCCTTGGTATATGCACTGAAACAGCCCAGGTTAGGTAACTGAGGAAAAGAGTCAGGCTGTGAGTCAGATACACAGCACAAGCACACACATGAAACTACCAAATGACATGTACACAAGGATGCATATATGATACACAGAGACAGAGAGTATCACACAGAAGCCCACCTGTCCACAGGCAGATCCATAGTCAAGTGCACATTTACAGCTCCTCTGACTTGAGCTCATCCTTGGTGATCTCAGATCCTTCTGCTCCAGACTGTGGCCTGACTCCTCAGCTTCTCTTTAAGAGACTCGGACAAAAAGAAGAAATCTCTGTGGCCTCAGTGCTTCTGCAGGTGTTTATGTTTCTTAACCAACTCCAGAGCAATGAGCAAAAAGGTTAACATTTTAATTACTGATATGAGGACTGAAACAAAGTCCCCAAGCTTCTGGGTGAGGGAGGAGCCACCACAGGGTAATTGGCCCACTTCTGACTGCCCTTTGGGGAGCTGTGTGTCCAGGACCAGAGGGGACTGAAGTCCCAGGGAACAGTGTCCCTGATGCCAGTGATGCCTTTCTTCTTGGACATGGATCCAGCTGGGACAAAGGATTTTTAAAAAGAGATTGTAATAATGGCTTGTTTAGAAGGTGTTGGTCAGTTTGAGGGGAACTGTTATGGGGTGGTGAGGGCTAGCAACAGTGGGGAACAGGTGTAAGAGGAGGGGTGGTCATCAGAACCTGGTGAGACATGTAGGTTTAAGAGAGGACCCCTAAACAGGAACTGTGGATGGGCACTGTCACCCCATGGTCCAGCAGGGAGAACAACAGACTAAATGCCCCAACCTCTTTCTCCTTCTGCCTTTGATCTTTTGCTTGTGTTTTCCATTGGCCTATCCCAAAGGGCCAGGGAGCCCACTTGATGCAGCCCATAAAGGTCCAACTCCTGAGACAAAACAAGGTGGAGGAAGCTGGAGAATTGACCTGGGGCAATGGCGAGTATCTGGCATACACTGCTATACATAATAGGAGGTCTGTCTGGAAAAAAACCCAGCCATTGTTAGAGAACAGTTTGTGTGACATTGGTGTAACTGGGAGCCATGGCAAGTGGACTACAATGCACGTGCGTGAACAATGATGACTTTATTGTAGTAATCAGTGGGGGCAGCACACACTGTTGAATGAGCATGTATACTGTGTGACTTTCACTTTCAAAATGACTGAGCAAGTAAAGCAATGAATCTGCATCACATTTTGCGTTAGGCTTGAACATTCTCCCCAGAAAGTACTTGGATGATTCAGAAGGACACAGCTATGGGCAGCTGGTAAGCAGTATCTTCATTTTGACAACACAAACACTCATGCATTATGTCTCATGGAGAGTTTTTTGGCAAAACACCAAATCACCCAGGTGACTCAGCCCCCCTACAGCCCAGATTTGATGCCCTATGACTTCCAGATTTTCCTAAAACTAAAATCATCTTTGAATGAGAAGAGATTTCAGACCTTTCAGGAAGATAAGATTCAGGAAAATTTGACAGGGCAGCAGATAGTGATTGGCAGAACTGTGTGAGGCTCCAAGTTGCCTACTTTGAAGGGGACTGAGGTGTCATTGTCCTGTGTACAATACTTCTTGTATCTTGTGTGTTCTTCAATAAATGTCTTTATTTTTCATATTACCTGGTTGGACACCTTCTTGACAGACCTCATATATTATTATGAATTCACAATCCTCATTTAATTTCTGAGTCATAACCCATTACAGTTGTTATTCTTTTTGAATATACTGTTGTTTCAGATTCATTTAATATTTATGAGTTTAAGGACCAAGCAAATTATAGAACTAATGGTGAAATGAAAAATAGGGAAAAAGTATTTTCACTCTCTAAGCAAGAACATAGGTGTTTCAGAGGTGATTTCTTTATTGAGCATTCTGATTCATGGTATGTGGCTTGAGTACCCATCCCCTTGGTCAACACACTGTACCATCTTCAACTCAGCCCATTAGCATTTTCTCTTGGGCTTCTGGATGCTGCTTCATTCTGACCTCTTTAAGGAGAAAAAATTCTGGTCACTCATATGCTTGCACAAAAGAGATACTTATTTCTGTGGTTTTAGTGTAATCTGTCCCCTTTTCTGTCAAAGGTGTATCTCTGCATCAACAAAACTATACCTGGCAAGTAAATTAAAAAGTAATCCTATTTGCAAGAGCATCAAAAACAATGAAATACTTAGGAACAAATTTAGCAAAGAGGTGAGAGAAAGACTTGTATACTGAAAAGTATAAGACATTGAGGAAGAAATCAAAGAAGACACAACTAAATGGAAATGTATCCAATGCTCATGGATTGGAAGAGCTAATATTGTAAAGTATCCGTGCTACTCATAGTGATCTACAGATTTGATGCTATTCCCATCAACATCCCAATGGTAGTTTTCATAGACATAGGAAAAACATTTCTGAAATATACAAGGAATGTAAATGTCCCACAACAGCAAAGCAATATGAAAAAATAACAGTGCTGGAGGCATCACACTTTTTTATTTCAAACTACATTACAATGCTATAGTGATCAAAACAGTATGTTACTGGCACAGAAATGGACACATAGGTCAATGGCAGAGATTAGTGGGCCCATGCATATGTGGTTGACTAATATTTGATGATGGAGTCAAGAATACTCAATGGAGGAAAAACAGTCTCTTCAAAAAATGGTGCTGATGTTACAGAACAAGAAGTGGGGCCAAGGGCAATATACTATTACCCAAAAGGATCCCGCAGGTTCATTATGTCCACCATCTATAGGAAAGATGTCTCTCACCGCCAGAGATTCATAAAAAGGAAAGGAATTGTTTATTTAATGCTATACAAACATAAAGTACTGACCTAATGTCTTCATCAAAATCCCAAACTCCCTTAAAACACCCACAAACATGCACAGTCCCTCCATCCCCCTTTGCCCATTCTGGGGTACTGTATCTCAGGAAAAGAAATAGAAGTCCTTGGCTCATGCAGCCCCCAGTTCTTCCCAGTAGTTTGTCTTGGCTGGGAGACCCTCCTCGGGTCCCGGCAACCTCACCTGTGTCGCCAGGATCTCTGCTAAAGCCCGGTAGTGGTTCCCCCTACTAATGCTGTGGGGGTCCCCACTCTGGCAAAGGCATGAGGTTCTCTCCCCACTGCTCCAGCCCAGTGGTCCTCTATCCCAGGGCCACGGGAGTCCCCACTCAGCCAAAACCACGTGGTTCTCTCCTGCAATGGCTGCCATGTCTGGGTTTTAAATCCCCGCACCAACCTTCCTCTGTAGCCCCATTTCTGACTCCTCCCGTACTCAGCCACACTTGCCATCAATCTCACCCCTTTCCGGCTT